AATATTTTTGTACATAGAAAGGTTGTTTAAAGTTACTCAAGTAAAATTTGTAACATTTGATCAAGCAGTATAAAAAATAGATAGTAATTAAAATATGTAAGATATATCGTACTCCAATTGTAAATTTCAGGATATAATATATTTTTGTTGAAGTTAATATAAAATTCATAATATATAGAATTGATTAAATTGAAAAATAAAGTCGTACGATTTTCTAAGATTTTACTCTATCGTAAGTCATAAAATTCTCTACAAATTAGAGTCTACGATGAGTCACTCTAATTATGCGTATGTCTTAAAAAAAAAAAACTGAATATTTTTTTGAAATAAAATAACTTCGAAATTTCTCAAAGAACATTTAATTAGAAGGAAATGGTGTTCGAATTCCGCGCGTGTGCTGAAAGAAGATAAAAATATCTACTCGAGGCCGAACGAGGTCGTGAGTCCACTTGTATAAGCCTCGGTATGGGCTGTAAATATTGGCTCCCACGCTCGCTGTTAAAGTGCCCGACTTCACCTACCGCCGAGATGCATCCGAGTAGTGAGCATGTACATGCTGTATATATATGCTCATAAAATCGATGACCCACCTACTCGCCTTACTCGCGACCTTACATCTTTCTCGAGGGGACCTTACATCTTTATATCGACTCACGTTCAGATTGCGTCCGTTATATTTACGTTTACATTAATTTCTCTTTCAAGTTGGAATTAGATAAAATTAAGTCAATTCGGATTGAAAGTTAATACATTAATAGTTGCTACATAGACTAGAAAAACGTGACAACTATGTATTTACTGAGGCTCACAACAAATGTTTAATTTGTATAATTATTGTCAGATGTTGATATATCCCTGTATCAACTTGTCATAATAATAGAGAAAAGTTTCCTTTCACCGGAGGAAAAGTCTCGGTTTTGCCTCGTTGTGCATCGAGCCTAACGAAGGGTCGGCCAAGTCGAGGACGGACGGAGCTAAAAACTGGACCGGAAGCCTGCGGCAAAAACGCACGTGCCGAGGAGTAAAATGCATCGCGCGCGGCATACAGTGACTCGCCTTGTTCTCCAGGGAAAACACCAAGCAAGTGCCGGTGCATCTTGACGAGGGTACGGTCGCGAGTGAACGGTTCAGCCGATATTTTTAATCCTCAACGTCTATTTCAATTACGCTCTCAAATGTCTTATTGCTGTCTACAAAAATGTGAATAGAATAAATAAAAAAAAAAAACATAATGATGTGAACATAGTGATAAACTAATTCAAAAATCTATTAAAATACTGTAAAAAATTCCAGTGCTAATTGAAGAAAAATTTTTTATGTTGCAATAAAGCAATTAAGCATCGTGATGATTTTTTAAATATTCATTGCACTATTAATTATGTATTAATAACAATAATAACTATTTACTTTATAATTTTTAACAAATTAGGAATGTATAAATTTTCTATTATACTTTCTTTTAACACAACTTGACACAACTTTTTTGTAACATTTAATTTGCATGAAGTCGGCTATATCATTTTAAATAATAAAAGTCGCACAACAATTTGACATATTGCATCTCTCATAAATTCGTTTCACCGCGAAAGAATATTAAAATTGTTTTTCTTATCGAGAGATTTCGCGTATCTACGTATGTATGATGTACAAAATATTTCAAAGTCATATATCTACATATGTACGATATAGAATGCTTCAAAATATAAAAAAATAAGGAGACACGTACCATATGTGTAAAGTATAAAACTATAATATTTGTATTATTTGTAATCTATAAAACATAGCCAGAAGACTTAGAAGATTGTTGATGCGACAGACAGTTTCGCAGTTATTATATGTAACTTTTAAGTATAATAAATTCAATTTTATGCACATATTATTCATATTTTGACAAATATCACAAATACAGAGACCTACATTCACTTTAAGTGTTCGTAGTATAATTGTAAATTAATTATTTAGATGTATTTATTTTTTAATTATATGTACATGAAGAAACATACTCTACGTAAACATTAATAATCTATAAGAAATAATAATTTTCCATAAATCTTTTTCTGTTTTATTGATATATAATTTTATGTAAAAAAAAAATATTAAAATAATAAATATTATATATAAAGAGATAATCTAATTTAATTTCTCAATTACTTAAATGATATAAGAATTTAATATCATTAAGTTTGATATACGAAGCATGGGCAAAATGCAAATAATCTTTTAGAGCCATATAATTTTGTCGAATCCGAGCCTCGAATTTTTCAAACGATATCGCAACATCTTATAATGTTTCGCCGAAAAGAATATCGCACTTCTGTGGCCTGGGAACTGTTAGCCCAGTTAACTCGGATCGTAACGCTTCGAGAATTACGCCGTGTTCACAACAACATACGTTATTCCCACAATGTAGCTCCCCGTATAATTGTTCGAGCAGAAAGAAGGGTGAGGGTCAACATTATACTTAATAATTAATGCCACAAGGACATTTTCAGGGCCAAGGTCTCAAATTATGTCCTTACATATCTTCTTTTCAAGTGTTTCCCCTTGAGAATATTCTTTCTAAATATTTTATTGCTAATATATTTTGCAAAAATATTACTATTTATTTTTTTTTTAAGTAATATACATGTAGAATATCTCATAAATACTACTATATTTTATTTATTAGCCAGTGAATACTCTTCATAATTATAAATTTTAAAATAAAGATCGTAAATATAAAAAATACGTTATATTAAATTTTGCGTCATAAAATATTGTAATTTTAGTATTATCAATCGTGGCAAAAGAAAGAAAAAAAGAGAATATGATTTTA